CGGCCAACATATGAGAACTCTTGTCCTCACAGTCAGAGCCAGTGGGCGGAGGGGAAGCACTGGTATCGCGAACGGCTTCAGCCCGGGCTAAGTGTTTGCCTCTCTATTCACACAAACATTTGTTTAGATCACTACGAAAACAATTATTCATTTGAAACCTTTTTCTCTTTAGTATCTTCAGTGAGAAGAGTATCCGTTTGTCTGCCATTCAGTGATTGTCCGGAATCTGAATTCATTGTATGCATAGTTTGGGTGCAGTTCTCATCCAATCCATCCCTTAAGTCATTGGTTTCCTTTTCGGCCTTAAATTAGATACAAACGAGTGTTCAATGTTATCATATCAAGCCATGGAAGCGGATGACTATACCGTGAGTTTGTGATCGCACTTGTCTTCGACGGCATTCACCTGAATGGTTGGCGCGACACTCCCCTCACAATTGTTCCAATTCTTGCATTTGTCGTTACAGTTGATGGTCTCCTCCTTCAGATCAATGGCTTCGAGAGTCAAATCGATCTCTTCTTGTTTCGAAAGACGTCTCCTATTGTTCTGATCGCTCGACTGATGTCTTCTCGGATNCCTCACAATTGTTCCAATTCTTGCATTTGTCGTTACAGTTGATGGTCTCCTCCTTCAGATCAATGGCTTCGAGAGTCAAATCGATCTCTTCTTGTTTCGAAAGACGTCTCCTATTGTTCTGATCGCTCGACTGATGTCTTCTCGGATGGTGTGGTTTGTTGTATCCATTGTTCTTACGACTGGCCATCACTTGAGAACGAGAGTCAAATCGATCTCTTCTTGTTTCGAAAGACGTCTCCTATTGTTCTGATCGCTCGACTGATGTCTTCTCGGATGGTGTGGTTTGTTGTATCCATTGTTCTTACGACTGGCCATCACTTGAGAGATAATCTTCGACTTCGAGTTGTGCTTCAAATACGGTTCAAATCACTTCAAATCCAAACACTTAACCAAAGTGTCAAACCTATGAGCGAGTGGTGAAGACATGAATATCAATGAATGCATGAATGGTGTGATTCTCACTCGTCTTCAATGTCTCAAATGTCTCATCCATTTTCATATCAACTCTATTGACAACAATTCAACACTTCATTAGCGGTTAATTGAATGGTTTGTGAGACAAACACATCATTACTCTTCATAAGCATACAATGAGTTTAGATATAAAAATCGATGAATCGTTTTGAATGCAAAATATGATAATTACATGAATATTATTATGTATTTCAATGTATCATATATTTAGCATCACTTCAGTCATTGTAGACATACTCTCATACAATGCAGTCATACACTCATACAGTACTCCAACAATGACCTCATATTGCTATAGAGAGCCTGCACACAGCATTTCATCCCTTTCCCATTCTGAACATTGAAACACACACTTACCATCATTTGTGTCCAATTAAACCAAATCAAACCAATGGGTCAAACAGATATGAATTCCGGCATTTTTACTGTCAATTCAAATGGCATTTGATTTTCCGTACAGTAATAGACATACAGTACTTGACTTACATGAACAGTATAATTACCATTGCATTCACTATTACTCTAATACTGTCTACACTTGCTTTCAATGCAATGCAATCAATGCATACAAATAACACTCAAAAGGACATGACGTGATGAGGGAAGTATTGCCAACTGACGCATACAGGTCTACACAGTCACCAAACACTCTCTACTGGTCCAGGACTCTGTCAAACCATTTATAATAATCAGTTAACTATCATATCATACCAACATTCACCACATTTGCACCACTAAAACAACACACACCAAAGTACCATGGACAAAAGTATGCCAAAGTACCAAGCTCATATGTTCGGTGTTGTGACAGTTGTCAACTGCAAGTTTGACGTGCGATCACTGCTCACACCTCTACTCAATCTCAACACCGATTTGCAGATAAATTGTGATTACATTTGAAAAGTGATTTAAATTGACATTTCATTTGTGATTGCATTGGATTTAAAGGTTAACTATTGATAACAGTGACCACAGTTCACACCAAAGACACCATGAATTCAAGCGCATCCCAGTTAACAGAGTTGTGTTCACTCTTATACCCGAAGAACTGTTGCCACGAAATACTGGACGAGTTTCTGGTGACGAAGCCGTGTCTGTCGGCAGTGGTGTCCAAGACGTTGGGTTACGGCATAATCGCCGGATCAACGCTCGTGAAGATGCCTCAGTTGGTGAAGATATGGTCGGCCGGCAGTGGCATTGGCATCAGCTTTACGGGAGTGGTGTTGGAGTTGATTGCGATGACCTTCTCGGCCGCCTATGCCTTCGCCAATCACTTCCCATTCAGCGCATGGGGTGAATGTCTGTTCCTAATGGCGGTCACGGCTCTCATCGCATACCTGGTCCTCAAATACCAGCGCAACCAACTGTCGGCCCTTACATTCCTCGTCGTCTACACCGCTCTCACCTTCGTATTGATGAGTGGTTTGACTCCGATGTCTATCTTATGGTCACTTCAGGCCCTCAACCTTCCGGTGGCCATCTCTGGCAAGATGTTTCAGGCGTTCATTAATCTGCGAAACGGAAACACCGGACAGTTGTCTGCCATCACAGCTGTGCTCCTATTCTTGGGTTCGTTCGCCCGGATCTTCACCTCAATCCAGGAAACAGGTGACCAACTGGTCGTCTGGACCTTCGCGGTCGCCTCCGTCGCCAACTTCTTACTCGTTTCCCAAATTGGCTATTATTGGAATCAAACCAATCTATACCTCAAGAGTTTGGAGAAAAAGAAACTCTGATTTGAAGCCATCTCTAGATATTTGGCATTTTATTTTCAATTCATNACTCGTTTGGACACAAGTGCTCATAATTTACACTTCATTTCCATCTATTGCTGCAAATGAGTGCATCTATGCGTTAGTCATGTCATCATCGCATCCATGGATCAATTACTCACTCATTGGGTGATTGGTTGTCATGAATTGAGGATTAGTTACAGTGATATGAATGACAAAATGATAAACAAATGAAAGGAAAACAATGAAAAGAGTGGTAATGTTGTGATTGCATTGAATTCACTGAATTGAGTGACAAATCATTTTGACGTTTAAATGCCAATCAAATGGCCATTAATTGTGTGTTTGTATTGATGTTTGACTAACAGTTGAGTCAATAGTCAATACAATATGACTGTAATCACGATTACATAATAATACATGTATTATATGTTCGCATCAATAATGAGGTCATTCAGAGCACTACACATACACTCACTCTATGTTTAGCGCGAATAAATGCATTCATAGATTACGCGACACTCACTCACACCATGTGCTCCCCATTCACAGCAATTCATGTGTTTTGAAATGCCTTTTAACTAAATATTTATGAATGCATTTACTATAGGCCAGCGTATCGACCATCCATTGCGTACAGTTGTGTCCACTTATCATGTTATGTCTGAATCTCATTCAATATATGCTAATCTCAAGAGTAAATCAATCAATTAAACTCATTATTCATATAATTAGTTAGAAATTAATAATTGTGACCGAAATACTAATACAGGGTATAGTTTGGGACATTAGGTGAGAGTATGTGTGAATGGGTGGCATTGGAGGGAGTGTTGAGATCACGTGACATAGATTTGAGTGAATGTATGAATACGTGTAGAGTTTTGGACACAAGTTGTTGGCAGTGAACACACATTCAGTCCATTCAGTCATCAATCCATTGAATACTTCACTTCATTTTGTTGATACTATCGACTACTGAGTGGCAGACATGGATCAAGTGATGTCATTCGTAGAGCCCGGCCGACAGTTCGCCAAAGACTCGATCCGTTTGGTGAAGAGGTGCACAAAACCGGACCGAAAAGGTTAGCCAACGCTCGCTGACTATCAGGTGTTTCAATGGTATCTAAGATAATGTGATGAATGGTTACAGAGTTCCAGAAGATAGCGATGGCCACAGCCATTGGGTTTGCAATCATGGGATTCATTGGATTCTTCGTCAAACTCATCCACATTCCCATCAATAATATTATTGTGTATGAAATGAATCAATCGTTTGAACCATTCATTTGATGACTAATTATGATTTGATGTCTTATTTCAGTGGATCCTAAATGACATTCAACTCACAAATGCTTTTATTTTTTATCAAAAACTACGAAAAGGAATAAAGTTTTGATTTTTTCAATGTATTTGCGGTTTTAGTGTTAAATCATTTGAAATAAAGATTCGTTTAATTAAAATATATATTAAATATAAAATCTATTTAAGTGTTGAATAAATCAAATGAATTGAAAATAAAATGCCAAATATCTAGAGATGGCTTCAAATCAGAGTTTCTTTTTCTCCAAACTCTTGAGGTATAGATTGGTTTGATTCCAATAATAGCCAATTTGGGAAACGAGTAAGAAGTTGGCGACGGAGGCGACCGCGAAGGTCCAGACGACCAGTTGGTCACCTGTTTCCTGGATTGAGGTGAAGATCCGGGCGAACGAACCCAAGAATAGGAGCACAGCTGTGATGGCAGACAACTGTCCGGTGTTTCCGTTTCGCAGATTATTGAACGCCTGAAACATCTTCCCAGAGATGGCCACCGGAAGGTTGAGGGCCTGAAGTGACCATAAGATGGACATCGGAGTCAAACCACTCATCAATACGAAGGTGAGAGCCGTGTAGACGACGAGGAATGTAAGGGCCGACAGTTGGTTGCGCTGGTATTTGAGGACCAGGTATGCGATGAGAGCGGTCACCGCCATTAGGAACAGACATTCACCCCATGCGCTGAATGGGAAGTGATTGGCGAAGGCATAGGCGGCCGAGAAGGTCATCGCAATCAACTCCAACACCACTCCCGTGAAGCTGATGCCAATGCCACTGCCGGCCGACCATATCTTCACCAACTGAGGCATCTTCACGAGCGTTGATCCGGCGATTATGCCGTAACCCAACGTCTTGGATACCACTGCCGACAGACACGGCTTCGTCACCAGAAACTCGTCCAGTATTTCGTGGCAACAGTTCTTTGGGTATAAGAGTGAACACAACTCTGTTAACTGGGATGCGCTTGAATTCATGGTGTCTTTGGTGTGAACTGTGGTCACTGTTATCAATAGTTAACCTTTAAATCCAATGCAATCACAAATGAAATCTCAATTTAAATCACTTTTCATATGTAATCACAATTTGTCTGCAAATCGGTGTTGAGATTGAGTAGAGGTGTGAGCAGTGATCGCACGCCAAACTTGCAGTTGACAACTGTCACAACACCGAACATATGAGCATGGTACTTTGGCATACTTTGGTACATGGTACTTTGGTGTGTGTTGTTTGAGTGGTGCAAATGTGGTGAATGTTGGTATGATATGATAGTTAACTCATTATTATAAATGGTTTGACAGAGTCCTGGACCAGTAGAGAGTGTTTGGTGACTGTGTAGACCTGTACGCGTCAGTTGGCAATACTTCCCTCATTCACGTCATGTCCTTTTGAGTGTTATTTGTATGCATTGATTGCATTGCATTGAAAGCAAGTGTAGACAGTATTAGAGTAATAGTGAATGCAATGGTAATTATACTGTTCATGTAAGTCTAGTACTGTATGTCTATTACTGTACGGAAAATCAAATGCCATTTGAATTGACAGTAAAAATGCCGGAATTCATATCTGTTTGATCCATTGGTTTGATTTGGTTTAATTGGACACAAATGATGGTAAGTGTGTGTGAGATGTTCAGAATGGGAAAGGGATGAAATGCTGTGTGCAGGCTCTCTATAGCATTATGAGGTCATTGTTGGAGTACTGTATGAGTGTATGACTGCATTGTATGAGAGTATGTCTACAATGACTGAAGTGATGCTAAATATATGATACATTTGCACACATATAATAATAATATTCATGTAATTATCATATTTTGCATTCAAAACGATTCATCGATTTTTATATCTAAACTCATTGTATGCTTATTACGAGTAATGATGTGTTTGTCTATCAAACCATTCAATTAACCGCTAATGAAGTGTTGAATTGTTGTCAATAGAGTTGATATGAAAATGGATGAGACATTTGAAACATTGAAGACGAGAGTAGTAAATGTGAGAATCACACCATTCATGCATTCATTGATATTCATGTCTTCACCACTCGCTCATAGGTTTGACACTTTGGTTAAGTGTTTGGATTTGAAGTGATTTGAACCGTATTTGAAGCACAATTCCCAGTCGAAGATTATCTCAAGTGATGGCCAGTCGTAAGAACAATGGATACAACAAACCACACCATCCGAGAAGACATCAGTCGAGCGATCAGAACAATAGGAGACGTCTTTCGAAACAAGAAGAGATCGATTTGACTCTCGAAGCCATTGATCTGAAGGAGGAGACCATCAACTGTAACGACAAATGCAAGAATTGGAACAATTGTGAGGCGAGTGTCGCGCCAACCATTCAGGTGAATGCCGTCGAAGACAAGTGCGATCACAAACTCACGGTATAGTCATCCGCTTCCATGGCTTGATATCATAGCATTTAACACTCGTTTGTATCTAATTTAAGGCCGAAAAGGAAACCAATGACTTAAAGGACGGATTGGATGAGAACTGCACCCAAACTATGCATACAATGAATTCAGATTCCGGACAATCACTGAATGGCAGACAAACGGATACTCTTCTCACTGAAGATACTAAAGAGAAAAAGGTTTGAAATGAATAGTTGTTTTCGTAGTTCACTAAACAAATGTTTGTGTGAATAGAGAGGCAAACACTTAGCCCGGGCTGAAGCCGTTCGCGATACCAGTGCTTCCCCTCCGCCCACTGGCTCTGACTGTGAGGACAAGAGTTCTCATATGTTGGCCGTCGTGTCTTCAAACTCTCAGGTATTGACCGATAAAACTATTGTTATTCAACTCAATTATAATATATTTATGTTGAAAACAGTCACAAATAGGTTCACAAATGAATTCTCAAAACTATAAGAATAAAATGAAAGCTCAGGGAAGTTCTGGAAGTGTTGACAGAAGTTCTCCGTGTCTTTCAAGAGGTAATCAGTTTTAATGTCTTAAATGACTGTTGTTTTTCAAATGATATCCTATTGTCTAGACTCGAGTACAGAGAACTCGGCAGACATGACGGGAACAGATGTCCAGCAGTTTCTCGTCGATACTCTCCAGAAGAATAAGAAGGACAGAGTATTCTTACTTAAGATCGAACAAGAATTGAATGCTTTAGTCAAGGATTCAAAGCAAACGGGATATAAGTTCTCGCAAATGACTTCATACAACCGAATGCTTGTCCACAGAGTGGCCGCACTCTTCGGTTTCGAGCATAACGTGGATATTCTGGGAACAGCTGTTGTGGTCAACAAGTGTAAGAGCACTCGAATCCCTGATTTGAAGTTTAAAGACTACATCAAAGAGGACTCTCTTCACGAGCCAAAGAAATCTATTCTTAAACGCGATTCCGCTTCTCTTGAAGACGGCAGCAATGGTTCGAATGTGAGCTTTGATGGCAAAGAGAAGAGTCCCGACAGACAGACGGGTAGTCTCTGCGACGGAACGAGGAATAAGTCATTTGAAGAGCGAGAGGAGCGGTACGAGAAGGCGAGGGCGCGGATCTTCAATCAGGAGTCCTCGTCGTCTAATGAGGGCAACGACGCCAACAATCATCTGATGGCAGACAATAGCGACTCAAACGTGTCTTCAAATCCATTGTCGGAGAAAACTTCTAGTCCTCGAAGCAGTCAATCAGCCGAAGACTTGGCGACGAAAGCAAATAATTTGTTGAACAACGAGGCGCGCGCCTGGAGTAGCACTGACTCTGACAGCTCTGGTCGGCCGCCGAAGAATGATTGCAAACCAATACCACAATCAGTTGAACCCAATTCTAACGCTTGTGATGCAGACACGGCCTCCAAGTCTACCCCTTCTCCAAAAGTAAGTCTTTTGACTCCTGACGGACAGACCGGACAGACGTCTGATAAAAACAAAGCTAGTAATCAGTCGAAGAGCAGACCCGCTGTAACCAAAGCCAGTAGTTTTGGCGGAATCTCACGTCATGTTGACAACAGTCACAACAGCATCACTACAACACATCTCCCAAAATCTGGTTCTTTTAACGCCACACCAAATGCTAACCAACCCATGAATGCCACCAATAATGTCAACACTAACCGCGCGAATACACCAAAGAATAGGACAGAAAATGCTCACAAAACGCAAAACAACAGCTCGTCTGCGAACCACCACTCGGAGCACAGGTATGGCTCCTCTCAGCAGCCGTCACACCACTCTTCAAGCACTAGTCATCACAATCGACACAATCAATGGCACCATAACTCACATCACAACCGAAACAACAACAGAATGGCATCTATGGGTAGTGGTGTCGGATGGCCTCATATGATGAACCAGAATTACCCACACTTTCTACTACAGCAACAAAATGGTACTAACAGTACATTACAGCCGCTGATTGAGTTTAATTGAATTGAATTGAATTGAATGATTCATATTGTTATCCATTTCAGACCCAAATACAAACCAAATGAAAGAAACACAATATCTTCAGTCCGGACAACAAGTATTTTTATCATCGATTGCTAACTATGGACAGCAAACCATGAATAACGAACCGCAACACCATTTGACAGTAAGTTTATAATATAAGTTTTATACCTAATTAGCACTTATTGTGGCACTTATCTCCTAAAGCAACAGCCGATTCGTCTTCTTTACCCGAATCCAAACGCATCGCAAATGCAATCAAACATCTCATCGTTTGGTCCTCTACTCAACGGTTCACTTCCACACCAATCCGTTGCCAACCAAATGAATTCAATCCCTTTTCCACTGCAATCGTCTGCAAACGGAATGAATTTCTCTGGGAATCAATCAAATCTTCAAAACAATACATTGATTTCGCCTCCGATTAACCCGTTTGGGACATCACTTCAGGTACTGATGGCAATGACTACTGAGATATATGTGGTTTTAATGGTTGACATGTGTGTTGTGTGAAGGTTCCCCAAAACATGGCAAATATGGGAAACGTTTGGATCATTGGTAACGGACTTCACCCGCAGTCTACTTCACCGATGATAGCGTGTCCACCGCCTGCTAATACTCCTCCAAGTGCTTCGATTGGTTCAAACATCGCCCCCTTCGTGGGCATGTCGTACCAACACTATCGGCCGCCAATCAATTCAAATGTGGCGATGAATCCGAATTTGGGTCTAAACGCAGCTCAGACCAGAGCACCCCCTCCTCTGCTCAAAAACCATCCAATTATGTCCACTCAATCTAATCCTCACCGCATTGTCCCATCCAATGGTAATCAATACGTTCAGCAATCAATGCCCGATATGTTAGACTTGAATGGCATAATGGGTGCCAATAATTATGTCAATCGCGGTCCAGTCGTCCCACAAGTGAATCATATGAGACGACTGCCCGTTAATCCAAACCAAGGCCTTGACGTACGACTAGTTGGACAGCAAACGTCGCCTCCTTTTCTACTTCCAACGCCTCAAAGACCATACTTTCCAGTGCCGAACGCCATGCCTGTCAGTCACCGGCAGTCATACGAAAACAATTCAAATAATGTGAACCAACAACGGCTCAAAAGTTCATATAAAAACAAATCCAATAGATATTCAAATAGTAAGAATATATTAGTGGGTAATAGTAACACAAACGCCCACTACTCTAACACTTAGCGATTGTGAACTCTTAGGACAAAATTATAGATTCAAATTCATATAAAAACAAATCCAATAGATATTCAAATAGTAAGAATATATTAGTGGGTAATAGTAACACAAACGCCCACTACTCTAACACTTAGCGATTGTTAACTCTTAGGACAAAATTATAGATTCAATTGAAATCCCATCGATTCCTCCGAAATGCAACCAAACCTTTTATTACACAATCGAAATGTTTTGTACAGAATATGAATAAAAATATAAACAAATCGTTAATTATTGAACCGATAAATTTTATATTTAGTATAATGTTCACGTATTATTATACAGTTGTCAAACTTACACCGATCACTTGCGAACTTCTAGAGCCACTCAACACTTCATTTTAGTATCTATTGATTAGTTAATTATCTATTCAATTATTAAATTATGCTTGATTTACTTTTATTTAAGAAAAAACTGTTAAATGTTAAGTATTTGTTATAAATTATTTGATATTTTTATTTGCATTTAGTTCTCAGTTTACAGTAAATCGTTTTTACAATTTGTAAATATTTTATTTTCATCTTATTTTCACTGCGAGCTCTTAAGACAACACAATATTACGACATCACTGGTTGTGGCCGAAGATGATCCCAATTGCTAATACGAGTCACTTTTTATTTGCATTACATTTGATTGCTTTTATTCTTAACAAATTTCCAAATCATTGCTTTTGTCTCAAATATGCTCATTGTATGGATCAGTTAAGGTAAATGTCACATGACATGTTTAATATAGATTATTGACAAAAAACATTACTGTACCTATGGAAATGGATCTAATCTATACCCAAAACTTTACAATTTGGTAGACTACCTAAAGTTAGATCCTAAACCATAGTACCGTACTTTTAGTATGAACTATACTATAGATGTGTATGGATTATGTTGACCAATGGTTGTGGAGATTTATAACATTTGTTTAATTTGAATAATCTTAAGTTTCTTTAAAAGTTAACAGAATCTCACAGAATCTCACAGAATCTCACAGAATCTCACAGAATCTCCACTGAGAAGCTTAAGCTATAAGGTTAAGCGCGTGTCGAGAGAGGTAAGTAGCAAAAGGAGTACACCTATCGAGTCCCATAGACGGACACAAAAGTATTTCCCATTACTGTCACCCTTACAGCACTCTATACGAGTAGAGGCTGGTAGAGTCACTGACATG